TGCCAGAGTCTCTTCTGCCAAGATGCCTCCAGCCTTTCAGGACTAGAAGGGAAGGTACTGAGGCATTACCTTCTGTACCGTCAGTTGCCAGGCCCGTAGCCAGCCCAAGTCGCTGCTTTGTGAAAGGGGCTGGTCTGCCTCCGTGACCTCAGGTCTCGCCACGCACTTGCCTCTTGGAGAACAGAATCCAAAGCCCGCTGCTCAACACAGCGATGCGTGGGCCTCTTTCCCGACTTGGGAGTGAGCGGTGACTGCTAACGTGAAGCCCACGGCCCCAGAGACCAGAGGGAATTCGAGAGCCCACCATAGATCGGGAGAGTACTGTTAACTCCGTCCTTCCCTTTCGTTATTTCAAAGCCTTAGTCGTCCCCGGGGTGAACGCTCGTGCCCTCTCGGGGCCTCTGACCTCCTTCTGTCTCTTTCCTTTCAGAGTGGACCTAAGTGAGGACGGGATGAAAGCCCTCGTGACCCTTTCCAGCGGAGACATGCGAAGGGCTCTGAACATTCTGCAGGTACGGTGCCACTGCAGCAGGTCTTGAGCCGCTGCTTCGGAAGAGGTTTTCAGGAAAGACAGAAGCAGCGCACAGCCAACCTATTAAGTTCAGAAATTGAGAAACTGGTAAGATCTCGATCTCCCCGTGTACCGACGACTTCCCCCCCACCTCGGGGTTTTGAGGAACTGGGAGAGTAACGTGCTGCAGACCAGGGAAAGCTAGGGAAGGGTTCTGGAGCCGGAACAGCCGCAGAGCTGCCTCCGCTTCCTCCTCACCCGCCTGCAGCGTGGTGGCCGCTGTGACAGCCACCACTCTCCCCCTCCTGCGCAGAGCACCAATATGGCCTTCGGGAAGGTGACGGAGGAGACGGTCTACACCTGCACCGGGCACCCCCTCAAGTCCGACATTGCCAACATTCTGGACTGGATGTTGAATCAAGACTTCACCACAGCCTACAGAAGTATCCTTCTTCGGGGGCTGCTGACAGTGCGGGACGTACGTGAGGCCCGAGCTTGTCCCAGCAGTCCAGGCTGCCGCCGGCGTCTACACCCTGCTGGCCAAAGACGGTTGGCTGCTCGTGGGTCTGGGCCGCTTGCTGTGGAAACACGGGGTCTCTGGGTGGAGCGGGTCCTCGTCTTTAATGCCCTAAAGTTCTTCCTGAAGGACTCTGACGTGGGTACAGCTTGAGGCCGCCTTGCTCGCGGATGAGAGCAGCAGTTAGACCTTGGGGTTGGGGGCGGCCGCTGTGATCATTCTCGAGTGGCCAACGTTACTCGTGTTCTGCTGTGAAGTTCAAAGCCAGGGGCGGTGACAGGAGGCCTTCTGGGGGACGCCTTCAGCTCTGCCCTCTACTAGGCAGAGACAGTTCTATCGGAAAGCCCTTGTGGAAGATGCAAACCTAGGAAAGGCAAGAATCGGGGCCCACGTGGCGCAGCTGGATTGAGAGCAACTGCCACAGTGGGGTTAGAAGCCCTCCTTCCAGAAGTCACCCCCACTGGAGTTGGGATTCAAAATTCTGTGCAGCGCGTTTGTCCGAGAAGCTGGCCCTTTGCCTTAACTGTTCCTCTCTAGATATTATGGAGTTGAAAACCCTGAAGGGGTTGGCGCTACAGGACATGCTGACAGAGATACACTTGTTCGTGCACAGGGGTAACTCACGGTCCTCCCTAGACGAGAAGCTGCGGGAGGAGGGGAGCGGGGCGCTTAAGGGCGGGAGCGAGGGAACGTGAGGCTTCGCTTTCGAAGCAGAGAGACGCGAGCGAAGTATAAACCGGGCCCGCAGTTTTAGTTTTCTCTTGTTGCTATTTACAGCTTTGTTCCAAAATGACCCTTGACCTCTGAACCTCCTGGGGAAGCAGCTAACTGCATCTCCTCCGAGGGTTTTTATTTTACAGGAGTAAATAGTATGTTTTAATCCACGTTTCTAAGGGTATTTTCCCCCAAAAGGAGAGAAAGAGGAGGAACGTCTATCCACGGGGTAAAGCAGAGCAGTCTTAACTAAACCATCTGAAGTGCCACACTTGGCCGTATCTTCTGTACAGAGACCTGGTTCTCAACCTTGGCAGCACGTAGGCGTCACCCCAAACCCATTCACTTGGCCTCTGGGGGGACCTGGGCATCAGGATTTTCTCAGGCTCTTCGGGTGACCTGCTGCTCAGCCTCCTCGGAGCAGCTGTCCCCCTACAATAGCCGACTGCAGACAGTCGGGTCCGGGAATGTTCTGCCTGTGCCTTGCGGGCCCTCCCCTGGGCCAACTGGCGTTAACTGCGGCCCACAAGCGTGGTCGGCTTGAGCCCAGCTCTGCCCTTTGTGGAAAATGAACATGAATAGAGATTTAAAGATCAGTAGATTTGTTTTTAAAAATCGGGACAGCTTGTGGGAACTTGGCTTTCTAGTTCACTCCTAGAGCTGCCCCGTTGCTAAAGCGATGTTGGTGCCTCTTCCGGGGTCTTGTGATCGCTTTGGAATCTGCTCACAAGATGGATAAAAAAAACTGAACTCATCCAGTGTTCACTTCCTTAGAGGTGTGGCAGCCAGTGACCTGAGGCCTCCAGACAAGTATAGTGTCCTCTGACGTTTAAGCTCATAATTGTCGTGGGATTTTTTTTTTTTTTTTTAGTAGTAGGGAGGGGCAGACCCTCATTCATTTGATTTTGTTTCTCCCCACAGTTGACTTTCCATCTTCAGTTCGAGTGCATTTATTGACCAAAATGGCAGACATAGAGTGAGTACTTCCCAATTTTGATTCCTTTCTTTTACCCTGTTGTGCATTTTTTCTTTCTACCTGCTTGGTTCCAACTTTCTTGTCTACCTCATTCCTACATGGCACAGTTTGATTTTTGGTGGGATCACTGATTTGCTTGTTTAAAGAACCGGCTCAGTAACAGACTGGGAGATAAAGCCCTCTCCTTAGACCTCAAAGGCATGGTCCACATTGGTTCTAGAAGTGCCATTATCTGGAAGGCCTGCTTCAGTTCCGACATCTAGGTCATTTGGGGACAACCAGCTATCCAGCTGTTGTTAAAGCATTTTGGCGTAGCAAAGCATATTGGGGGGCAAAGTAAACAGAAACTCAATTTTCCACTTTGCCTGGTTCCATAAACAGTTATTAGCCCCCATTGAAGCTGGCAGCTATCATTTAGGTGGACGGAAGCATTGGGTTCTAAACAGACGCCAACACGGGACCAACTCTGATTTGCTCTCACTGGCTTTCACACTCACACACGAGGTCACTTCTCCCTACGTGATGCATGTCATGATTTTGCTTTCACTGGCTGGGCACTGGGAAGGTGGCAAGATGAACCACCAGTGTCCTGCTTTACTAACTGGACCACAGAACCACAGTCCACCATTCTCAGGTGAATTAAGAGGAAGGAAATCCTCTCTCAGTACCTTTTGTGAGTGAAGAAATAAATCCTTATCACTTAAATTCTGCATACGTCTAGACAGCACGAACTTCAGAACACTGCCATTGATAATTTTTTTAATTTAGTTTTTCCTTACCAGCTTGAGTGGAATTTATAAGTGAGTGTTTAGGGCAGAGAGGAGGACGTCAGGGGACACACTGAAGATTACCGTCCGGGGTCGAGTTTGATTACCTGCTTCCCTCCTTCGGCACACTGTCCCTGCCTTTGCTCTCTCTCGTCCTGTCAAAAGGCAGCTGTCCCATGATACTCTCTATTCTTACCTTTTGTTTGACTTCTTTTAGGTACAGACTCTCTGTTGGCACCAACGAGAAGATTCAGCTGAGTTCCCTCATTGCCGCTTTCCAGGTCACCAGGGACCTGATTGTCACAGAGGCCTAAATGCTGAGCCTGTTTGCTGCGATTCGCAGGCCCCACGGTGACTGGACAACAGGGGACTGAGTTACAGCTGGGGACTGAAGCCCTGATCACCCCAGGCTTTGGAAAACCCTGTTCCAGGCCTGGGTGGGCAAACGTTTAAAAAGTACCGTGTTTGTGGCTGTTTGGAGCAGGTACAAAACAGTTTTAATGCCCAGCTCTCTTTCTGCTGCCCACTTGTGTCTCAGGGCGGAAAAGAAAGCGCAAGAAGATTTTTCTTTTAGCCTTAAGGCTTTTATCGTTCAGTTGCTTGGATGGCAGGAAATTGGCCTGCCCCACTTTGGTCTAGAACCAAATCTTCCCCATCTCCCATGGTGCCAGTATTTTCTAACTCAAGGTAACAGAACAGCTCCACAACTAAGTGCATAAACCTAATTTGCGGCATGGTCTCTGGATCTGCTTTAAATAGGTGTCCATGAAAAAAAAATAGGTGTGCGTCGACTTCTGGCCCAAACTACTGTACTCCTATAAATGGGCTCAGTTAATTGTCTTACTTTAAAAACATCTTTTTATTTCTCCCCTACTAGCAGGTTCCTAATTGTGGTGAGACAGCGAAGCGTCATTTTACGCCCGCGGCGGGGGCAAGGCCGCGTAGTACTCCCTTGTTAACGCAGGCAGGGCAGACGAGCACAGGCCGGGCTCGGCACCGGCACATGCGGGAAAGACAGGGCCCTGTAGACAGAGTAGCGTTTCTTTCACAGCGAACAGGCTGCCTTTATGAGTGTTCTTCTCCGTAAAAATAAAGCAGCTTGCACGTTGGCTGTTATGAGCTACTCTTTCCTTCACCTGTTAGAAAGATGCTGACTTACCTTGCATTTATATGAAAAAGCCTTCCCCCTCTCTGATTATCGCAGAACAAGCTTACTTCGGAGGCTGCTCTATAAAGTTGTCAGCTTCTCAGACTATCAAAAGGGAGAGGTTGGTTATCTGCCTCATCCCTGTACACCTCGCTCCCCGAGAACCCCGAGCAAAGTTTGAAGCTAATGGCCAGGCGGGGCCTTGGGGAAGCCACCCAGAACCCCTCAGGCTGGGCTGGGATGCCTCAAGACGACCACAAAGTATAAAGTTGGCCCAAGCCGTTCCCCGCTGTCCTGCTCTACTCACTTGTTTTAAAAGGTGGCATTTTTTTTTTCTTAGTGGAAAAAAATGAAACTGAGCCGAAAGCTTTTTAACTTTTCCTTCAATGAAAGCCTCTCATCTTGAAAAGAAATGTTTTTCTTCAGCAACAAAGGTGGTAGAGGAGACTCTTGTACTTTTGCAACAAGTTTTATCACGTTAACACTGGCCTCCACAAAGCACCTAGTAAGAAAGCCAAAGGATAAGATGTTGCATTTCTTTTAAAATAATTTAAAATATATTAAATTTTCCAAAGGCAGATTTCATTGGAATGAGGTGTCTTGATCAGAGAACTACACGCCACTGAAGGAGAACAGTACTTTCAAGGAGCTAGTTTTGGTAAGGGGTAGAGGTGAACTGGGCTGGTTCGTCCGATGAGGCAAAGCAGCGAAGTCAGACCTTGTATATGACAATCAGCCAAAGCGGAGACAACACCAATTCCCTAAACAACGAAGAAGAGACATCTTCACAACTGTTCGACTTAAGAACTATAGTTTTTAGATACCAGGGAGGAAAACACAGTTGTACCTTAACATCTGTTGAGAAAATACAAATAAATAGGCTGCAAACAGCAAACCACTGACAAGTCAGCCGCCGTTTGGACAGTCATGCAGTTGAGGAATACATCCCCGTGTACCCAGACACACACATTTGTCATCTCCGGCACATGCACACCGATTAAAAAAAAAAAAAAAAAAAAAGCCGTTTCTAGTGTATCAGTCAGGAGCACACCTCTGAGTGCCCTGTAATCTAGCTCCGACCTCCCAGCAGATGGCTCCATGAACACTCGGTCCTGCTGGTCAGAGGGGAGCTTGTGGAAGGCAAGCACTTGCCAACAGCAAAGCCACTCTGACACAGCAGGAGAGAACTTTTTAAACAACGTCACCACTGCATCTGAAACATGACAAAGACAAGTACTAGGCACAAGCCAACACTTGCCCACTTGCCGGTCGAGGGAATAACCTGCCCCAGCAGAGAGGCTCTCGAGGCCTGGTTACTCTGCTTATCAAATCAACATTAGTCACTGCACTCTGAATTGGAAGGACTTTAGAAAGTGTTCGACGTTGCCGTTTCTTAGTGGGCTGAGGATTTCAGGTAAGGCTCTGCCGCCACGGAGCTGTGAGCCCCTCTATGACTGCCTGCCACAGGTCACGCAGAAACACCTGGATGACCAGTCCGCCGGCATCTGCTTTTGCTACACTCTGTTCACTGTCTCAAAGAGAAATTCTATTTCAATCCAAGACCAGCTGTTTGGCCCATTGCTCCCAGCTACTCCTCTGCCAGGAAGTCTGTTCCTGCTACAAGCAAACGAGACTATGGCGCGTAGCTTAAAAAGTCCTGTATGTGAGGAACTCTTTCATTTTCTTGGGGATTGGCAGTGCTAGCACTTGGTAGGTGGTCAGGAAACTTCGAAGGGCTTTCCGGCATAAGTGCTTCAGTGAGGACAGGACCCGAGGAGCTGTCCAGAACTGGACATGGCCATCCCTTGTCCTGAAACGGAACAGAAACGGACGCTTTAGGAGAGACCTTGGAAACACACATTTTCATGGTGAGGGGTATTAATGTTTTGACTCTTGACTTGCGTTAGCAGGAGACACCCGGGGAGTGCAATGCAACCCTGATGGTTGAAATGGATGTAAAGGCTATGATGCTGAATAATTAAGGGATCAGAAGAACTCAAGACACTTTTGATACCAAAGTGCTATCCGTGAGCTTGGCCCCTTCCGAATCACACCGTGAGTTCCAATGCGGCAGAGGGAAGAGTGCCGCCTCCTGAATTATACATGTTCCCTGCACGGTGGTTTCTGCCCTAAGTGGTTTCTCAGAAATTCTGCATCATCCCGACTTAGGCCTCCTTGTGGACGTGGCCCATTAAGTGGCATGAATCAGAGCTGTTTAATTACTCTCAGATTAAATATTAAGAGTAAATGATAACCTGTACTGGCAGAATAGAATATTAGAATTTTGTGTCCTCTTAGATTTCCTTTAAAGGCTTCATCATAGGCAAGAACATTCTAGATGCTTGCTCTCCTTAAAAAGCTACGTGGTAAGACTCAGCAGAAACCGCTCCCCATCTGTTCAGCTATCAGACACGTACCCTGTGGCAATAACTCCACCATGTGGAAAAAATGTGCAGCAAAGACCATTGGTCATAGGAGCAAATGCAATTGGAGTTTTCAGTTCCAGGGCCCAGATCCTGAGGAGTCTGGACGAGAGAGAAAAGAAACATTCGCACATTAGCAGACATGGGGCCAGCCCCAGAGGGGGATGCTACAGTGACTTGCGGGGACTTGCTCTGAGGCCACACACCGAGATGTCTCTGCATTACCTGTCATCTGCCACCGTGGCAAGGTACAAGCCTTCGGGAGAGAAGCACACAGATCTCAGGGAGCTAATGTGCACATCACTGTCGTCCATGGGGAGGTCAAGTTGGGTGTGGCTGAGGAGAAAGAAACAGGGCGGTCGGCCTGGGATGATGACCACCCTCCACCCTTCAGCTTCATTCCAATGCTGGGGCTATGATGGGCTCAAAGACCCATCCTTACCCCCTATCGAAAACCGTGGGATAAGCAGACGGGGGGGGGGGGGGGGGAGCGCATTTCCTAAGTGTCTCGCGGAAGGGGCTGAAGGGTTACTCACACTCCCTGTGCTAATTTCCTTATGCAAAGTAGGTCAGCCCTCACTTCAATGCCACAGTACAAACTGAAAGTCTTTTTTCAGCTAAGATACATGATAATTATAGGACTACCTATTATTTGCCTCAGAAAACAACAGAGACAAAGAGAAAAAGACCCAAGTTTGTGAGAACATGAAAATTCATTTTGGAAATACCAGTTTCGGTAAGAGGATCGTTCTGAACTTGCTACTCTGGTTATTAGTAAATGGAAAGAAAGAGTCACTTTGAGGTTTCATTAACGCTGAATCCAGAGAAGTACACACAGCCTCCTACATCAGGAGCCTTGAAGGCACTCGGGTCTAAATTGAGAACGTAAGTGACAATGAAGTGCCACTGCACGCCACTGCCTCAGAAGGCCTGAACTCACCGTGCCTCTTACCCAGGCACCCCCCGCCCCGCCACCTGCCCCGCCCCCGCCCCCATGCGGGCCATGCCTAACCCAAGGCAGCTCTCTCATCAGTCCCGCCCGCAACACGGTCCGAAGCAGGGACCCCGGCCTTACTGAAGTAACCTCAGCCTCTCTCCAGTATAGGGGTCCCACATGATCACGTTGGTGTCGTAAGAGGCCGTGACAAGCAAGGCGGAGTCGGGGGAGAAGTCACAAGAGACAACACTGCTTTGGTGGCCCTCTAGCTTCCGGATTAACGTGTAGGACCGCATGCTCCACAGGAACACCTGTGCAAAGGAACAGGTGCCCGGTTAGGGGCGGCAACAGTTTGCACAGCAAGCTGACCCGGCAGTGCCAAGTGAAGCCAAGCTCTCCACTCCATGTCACAGAGGCTTAGGTGAAGCAACAGGTCTGAGTTCCTAAGGTGCCGACCAGCGCACAAGTTCAAGGAGCCTAGTCTAACAGAATATACCCAGCCAAGTTCAGAAAGACTACCGGCTAAAGTGCATCCGTAGAGGCTTCTCGGTTCTGCTTCTGAGCCCTGTTTGCAAAATCACAGCGTGTGCTGATAAAGCACTATCTTGTCCTTTCAGTTAAAAGTAAAAATAGGGGTCAGAGGTGAGCTCGAGGGCTCCCAACAGAGCGGTGGCCCCTTGCCAAGCCATTTTACACCACGTGTTTACAGAGCAGTGGGAATGTGCCCCACAACTCTATGGACATCTGACACAGCTCATCACTTGAAATCTTTTTGAGAATCATGAAAAATGGGATTTTATTTTCTTCCCTTGAAGAAAACTTGCCGTCACGTAGTTCCAAACCCCAAATGAATGATTAACCACCTGGGCTGTGCCACACAGTGAACTCTTCACTCTCCTGGCTTAGTCACCACAAACAGCTCGATGCAGATGTAGAATCCGACAAACACACCGTTCCCAAATTATTCTTGGGTTTCTAATACTTTCTTAAATAACAGACAGGACTTCAAAACAAAGTTCAACAAACAACCGTACATTCTGATTTGAAATGGAAATTCCCATTACACAGATTCAAGTTAAATTGTTCAAAGGAGGGAAATCGGGATCCATATAGGGGTTGCAACTTTTAAAATCTCAAGACTCCAAGGGGAAAAATTTTAAAAAGCACACCTTTACCGTTTTGTAAAGGCAAACAGCCCTCCTCCAGTGATGAGGGCAATCCATGTCCTTCAACACCTCCTCTCTTGGTTTATTCAACGCGCGCAAAAGAGAGGCGACGACGTGCAGGAGGAGGGCCCGGCCCGCGAGCATGCGTCCCACCGGGGCTGCTTTGCAGCTGGGTTTGGAGGGGTTTTGGAGGCGCGGGCCTTACCTACCCTCTCCCACACCAGGCCCGTTCAGGCCTCCCGGTCTCACCGCACATGGGCAACAGAGGAGGTAGCGCCCGACAACTGAGCCTTACCGACTTCTCCCCAGCGGCGGAGCACAGCATGCTGCAGTCGGGCGAGATGGAGCAGCAGTAAACCCACTGCAGGTGGCCCGAGAGCACCTGGATCTGTTTACCTGCACAGAGAGGGGCACAGGGTGAGCCGGTTCGCGGAACCACGCAGCCGGGGGCCCGAAGGACCGGGAGGCATGGCCGACCCACCTGGTGTGGTGCCCTATTGCCTGAGCCCCAAAGCCCCTTCTTTTAGAAATATGCCAGGAGTTGTCATTTAAACACCTGACATCTATTTACACGAGAGTGTAATCCCCAAGGAGATCACTACCTTCTGTTTCACCAAAATCCACAAGACCGGTGCGATAAAGGCTGTACACAGATCACATCTGACAGATCCCTTTGCTAGCAGAGAACATTCTTTCCAGGGCCCCCCAACCACCTCTAATACTTTGGAGCATCCTTCCAAACGTGAGAATGTTTTATCTTCACTCATCGTTGACGCTCTGTAATGGTCTCCCCCTCCCAAGAGTCCCACCGCACACTCTCACCATCGCCAGGGTGTCTGGCTGAGCCACCTTGCAGAGCAATGAGGCCCGTGTGCTCTGCCGTCAGGCGAACCCGGGTTTGAACCCTGACTCCACTGATTACTCAGCACGTGCCCCGGGGCCACTCACAGAATTGGTCCAGTTCTGAGTTTGGGGGGGAAAAATTAAAGGCTCATCTGTAAGCATAACAGAACAGGTGAATACATGGAACACGTTTCTACCCCATTAATTCAGATGGTATTAAGGATCTAGATTTTCCATGTTCCGTGGAAAAAATGTAAGGAATATGAATCTATTTTTGTGGAACAACGACCCCCAAATCCTAAGTGTGTCTGAGTGTGAGTAAGGCACCGAGGGAAATACGGGAGGCTCTCAGCGTGGGTCCTGAGGCTGCGGGGGTTTCAGGGAAGACAGTGGAGGGGGGGATGCGACAGGGAAAGAGATGGGGAGGGGGGTGGGGTGAAAACCAGTACAAAAGAAAAAGGAAAGAACTTCTCTGAACATATATACTCACGCAAGTGCATTTAAGAGTCTGTGTATACGTGTGTATACGTGTGTGGGTGTATACAGTGTTTCGTGGTCTCTTCAGCTACCCCACAAGAGCAGTACCAAGCACCCCCACCCCAGGAGGTTCTGGGTGCTGAACAATTTCGGGCAGGACGGCAGGGCAGGGCCCCGTACCCAGGAACCCTACTTTACCCCGCCCCTCCTGAGAGCGCCCCAGTGCACTCGCCCGCTCCCAGCCCCCTTCAGCTAGTCCTCTCTCCCCAATCACCAGAAGATTTTAAAAGTCACTCTAAGAATCTTCCTTACGTGATGGCAAGCTGCCTCTGGATACACATTAAAAATGGCACTGCCCTGGAGAAGGCTTCCCAAGCAGCAGACCTGTCTTGGGACTTCAAGTTCCGCAGCTAAGGGCAGAAACTACCAGAGTTCTCTTGGTGACCAGATGCCACCAGGTGAGGACACCACAAGCACCTCCTTGGCAGTGTGACAAGTCATCAGGCTAGAGTCTCAGCGGGCAGGAGGTCCCCTCTCGTGGTTGGGGGGGGGCTGGCACAGCCACGGCTGAGGCAAGAGTACCAGTGCCTTCGCATTATTGGCGGCGACTGTGCCTCTCTATCAACTGTCCACGTCGCCATTTCCTCCTTCCACCTCCTTCCGGCCACTGTGTCCCTACCCATGTGGGGAAGAAAGGGCCTGACCATAAATTCCTCTTTCCTGCGTCACCTTTCTGGTTAAAGATCAGTACCAGAGATGTATGGGCCACCTCTGTATACAATTCTGCTCAAAGCAAAATTCCACAAAAGTTGACCCCCTCTAGCTAAGAGAATCCTTCTGGGCAAAGATTCCACTTCACAAAGAAACGATTTCTAACAGGAAGTAACCAACATGGACGACATCCTCTAGACTGGCAGTTCTCAACCCGGGGAGACGATGCCCTTCACGTGGACAGGGGGCAACGTCTGGAGACACTCTGGCTGTCACAACTAGAGAAGGTGCTTCTGGCATCTAGTGGGTAGTCCAGGGATGCTCCTCAACATCCTGGAGTGCACAGGACAGCCTGTAACAAAGACTTAGCATGCCCAAAATGTCAATAGTGCCATGGTTGAGAAAACTTACACCATAGCATCTATTTTCAATAGGAGTAATTATCAGTAGGGGTGAAAGGTGCTTCTCAGTAACCAAAAAAAAAAAAAAAAAAAATCTTACCTTTTTTTTTATGTACAAAGCATAGATATGCATTCAGTGCATCAATAGTGTACTTTTAGTATTAATATCTCATGGGGACGAGGCAAGTGTGTGATTAGAAAAAAATGTCTTTCAAGGGTCCTTAGGAAAATCGGTTGAGAAACACTGTTCTAAGATAAAAGTGAGAAGGGGGCAAACAGAGTATTTCTGGGAGCTACCAGCAGTTCCATCACTTCCATACCATGTTTGTTCAGGTCCCAGATGCGAAGAGTCTTATCCCGAGATGCCGAGACCAAAATCAAACTGCCACTGGGTGTGAAGCTCAGATCTCTCACGACATCTTGGTGGCCGGAAAGATTCAGAAGCAGGAGCCCTGGCGTGGGAGCAGGGGCACTCGGTCAGGGAGAGGTGGCACCCGGCCTGCCAGTCACAGCTACACCCCTCAGCCACCTGGGGGGCTGGTGGCCTGTCTGGTCCCTGATGAGTGCATGCATGCACCCTGGGACCTTGCCCCGGCCAGAAATGACCTACCTGTCTGCACCTCCCAAATCTTGATCTGCCCGTCATTGAGTCCCGTAGCAAGGATCAGGCAAGAGATGTCTGGCACTTGGGCATGGTGGCGTGCCCAGAGCTTCCTGCTGGGTGGAGAAGGCCACGGGCTAAAGGCCAAACCCCAGACAATCTGCCCACAATCCAGAGTCTTCTCCTTTGGGCTGCCTCGCCCTTTTGTATCATTTTTGCTGCTTCGGCTTTTGGCTTCAAACCCTTTAGGGATGCTGGAGGAAGCAGAGATTCCTTAATGAGTCAAAAAGTGTCACCCAGTCAACCAACTATTCATTCCATGATTTCTAAGATATTAAGGTTCTAGAAACAAATTGGCCTTTGGTGAATTTAATTTCTTTTTAGAATTCATGTAACAAAGACTTCATTAGCCTTGGTTCATCCCATTTGTGATAGCCCTGCAGTGGGGTGACCTGCCTTGTGGGATAACTAGATCACAGAAGCTCCAGGGAGCCCTACGCTTCCTCAGAAAGTTCTCTCAGGTTTGGTGCATGGAAGGAAAGATGCACTTAGTTTCTCCCATGAGGAAGAAAGCATGCCATAGGTTTGGAACTAGGACAGATCTTAGAACTTGAATACCCATCTGCTGTTCCCCTGCGTGATGAGCCCCTGGCCTCAAAAGGCCCAAGGAGCAGGAAAATAAATCCTTTTCTGGCCCACACATTTGCTTGGTACAAGCTGGTCTCCACCTTCCCTCGTTATGTTCCAAGCAATTAATTTCACTTACTTCTCTGGGTACATCCAGCACAGGAACCGACCAGTGGGGGTGATTGAGGAGAAAGAGCCCACAACTGCAGAGCTGCACTGACCTCAAAGATCCCGCGGCCCGAACCGCTCCTTTTACGTTCTACTTACGGTGAACCACAGGCCCCGATAAGCTCCGCGAGACTCACTCCCTAAGACCTAGGCCCTGCCCACCACTGCTCCAGCAGACCACATCTCACAGGCTTGAGCAGCTGGACAGCCCTGGGATTCAGCCCCCAAACTTGGAATTTTCCTGTCTGCAGTACACTTTATCAGTGCCAGTATTAAGTTCTATTTTTCTGTGTGACCCTGACCACATGCTGGGGTGTATCAAACTCAGGGAAATGAAGATGATGAAGCTGGAACCCAGTTCCGTGAAAAATCCTATAGTCAACGTATATGTAACTGGACCTCTTTATGCATCAGACTTGTTCCCCCAAAGCTGGAAGTAAATCATATTTTTGCCAAGCGTGTGGCTGAAATATATTAAAGAATTTAAACCAAGCTCACCTATAAAACTAGAAGGGAGGAATTAAGGCAAATATAGGTAGGCTCCATCAGCCCTAAAATTCTATTAGTCCAAATCAGCTTGGCAAGCTATGTCCAGGCCAGCATTCTGTTTTTATAGATAAAGTTTTACTGGAACCACGTTCATTTGATCACGTGCCATCAATGGCTGCTTTCACACTCTAAGAGCAGAGGGGAGGAGTCTCAACCAGATGGCCCCCAAAGCCAAAAATATTTATCACCTGAGCCTTCAAAGGAAACATGTGCTGACCAATGGAGTTTGAAAACTTGTTGTCCTGACAAGCATCTGAATGTGATAATGTCTTTTCGACCGACCCTGCTCAATCCCCACACCTCACGAAGCTGCCTGGCCCTGGCGCAGGGGCCTCAGTCGGCCATCCAGGGAGGAAGCGTGGAAAAGGCAAGCTATAGGGAAAGCTCTGTAGGACAGCTGGGGACCACCACAGCCACTTTTGTTTTATTTTTTATAAAATCCTAAATTCTGCATTCGAATTAAGGAATGATCTGTAGCTACCTTATTCCACAGGAATTAAGGCACATCCACGTATTAATTCATTTTAATATCATAAATTTAATTTCTCTAGAAAGAGATACTAAACCCTCCATTTTAGGGGTAGAGTTAACTTTCCTAGGGTCACAAAATCAGGGGGCCAAACTGGAACTAGAACTCAAGTCTTGGGTATCCAGGCCTCCTACTCACCAGATCCCCTAGACTTCTGAATTTGCCAATGAGTCAAGGGATGAGTTACATGGGAGATTGGGGGTATATGCATGGGAAAGGAACAGCTAAGGGCAAGGCAGAGTCACTGGGAGAATTTAACTTCACTGAAATTCAAGTTTCTAAAAACTGTATTTCTAAAAGTAGTAGAATTATTTCGCTAGTACCAATTATTCACTCAGTACTAAAAGCACTATTATTTTTTTTAAATATGTAACAATCTGAACAAGAATCTAAGGACTTCAGATTTCCCCTTTTAAAGGACTTTTAAAATAACAATTATTTTCAATTATAAAAGTAATAGAGAACTGTGGGAAAAATTTGGAAGTGAGACAAATAATAAAAATTACCCATAATCCTAACACCACTCTAACCACAGTAAACATTTGTCTGTAAGTTTTTATATGTGCGTATATACATATATTTTTAAAAGACAAATTTGGGATATTACATATATAGTTAATAGCTTACTATTTTCATTAAGCCTTATAAGCATTTTCCTAAGTTATTATTCTTCAAAATGTGTGATTTTTCCTTAAAACAAGTAACTTCTCACTTAACACACTGAACAGTAACATTTCTCTCACTATATTAAGCAATAGATACACAGAAAGGATTAATACTCAAATTTCCATTTTCCTGAGTTCATACTGGACAGATATATTTACCTATAGTGATGTATATGTTTGAATAGAAGAGTGATTTTCAGGCAAACAGAGTTTCCATTTGCATGCTTTTTAAAAGATTCTTTTTCCGGCACCTGAGTGGCTCAGTTGGTTAAGCATCTGCCTTCAGCGGATCGGATCGAGTCCTGCATCAGACTCCCTGCTCACCAGGGAGTCTGCTTCTCTCTCTCCTGCCCCTGCACCCCGCTCGTGCTCACTCTCTCTCAAATAAATAAATAAAATCTTTAATAAATAAATAAAAATAAAAAATACTTTTTCAGACCATAAACTTGTACTGGACTGGATATAAAGTTAAGTCTCTTGCATTTAGAGTAGGAGATCAATAAAAAATGGAAGACCTTGGCATTCTCATTAAACTGATCACAGAAGGAACTGAAAATAATGATTAAAAAAAAAAAACTCTGAAGGCTGCAAAAAATACCCTATGGCATTGCCAAAATTTCCCTTACCATCCTCTCTCTCATCACTGGGATTTCTGGTTTTTCACTACTACAGAGCTAATTCCGTGATGAAAATCAGTGTATGGAAATAGATGACCCCATTTCTGAGATTCCTAGTAGCGAGAGGAACATTGTCAAGGTCCTTGACGCATACTACCAAACAGCCAGATTCCCACCGGTCAATCCCAGCAACGCCCGCCCGAGTATGAATCTCAGCACGCTCTTGTTGGCGGGACCTACTTTCAAGGCCACGAGTTTCTGATGAAACACTTAAATCTAACATGCAATTTGTAAGAAACACCCAAAGCAAAAACAAATGAGGCCCTCAAGGGCAGGGGCCGTGTTTGACTTATTTCAAGGTTCCCAGCCCCTAGGCTCTGTGTCAGGCAAAGATTTCCAACAGATGCTGCCTCAATCAATGGAGTCGCCCTGTCCTGGCTGGGCCATGACCTGGAGCTCACAGCACTCAGACACTGGGCCCCGTCCAGCCCAAAGAAAGAAGCTAGTTAATACCAGAAACTAAATTTGGTCCATAGAGAAAAACACAAAAACCCAACTTAAATATGGGCAAAGGATGTGAATGGACGTTTCTCCCAAGAAGATACAGGATAGGCCAAGAAGCACAAGGTGCTCCATGTCAGAAGCCATCAGGAAATGCAGATCCAAACAATGAGATGCCACTTCCCACTCTACCAGGATTGTTCTGCTAGAATCAAAAAGACAGACAATAACAAGTGTTGGTGAGGGTGTGGGGGATATGGAAATCTCACACATCCGCTGGTGGGACTGCGAAACCGGGGCAGCCACCTTGGGCACCAGTCTGTTTCTCAAGCAGAGAAACACCGTAAGCCTATGTCCATAAAAACAAACAAAACAAACAAAAAACAAAAACCCGTACGTAAATGTGCACAGCGGTATTATTCGTAATAGCCAAAAAGGGAAAACCACCTAACTGTCCAGCAACTGATAAATGTCTATGCAAGGTGCACTGTCTCCATACAATGAAATATTATTTGGCAGTAACGGGAAATGATGTACCGATACAGGCCGTAAGAGGGCTGACTGGAAACATTCTCCTAAGAGCAAGAAACCTGTCAGAA